TCCTGGCCCAGCGGGGGTACTTCAAGGAGCAGACGTTTATCAACTACCTGAAGTATCTCCAGTACTGGAAAGAACCCGAGTATGCAAAATACCTGAAGTAAGTGATATTTACAATAAAGTTGCTCAAGTGTGGTGTGATCCTCAAACATATACCATACAGTTATTTACAGAAATAATTTATAGTTCATAACAATTTTGCTTCTTAATGTTTGTAGTACAGTACAGTACAGTACTGTATTGTACTTGCAAATTAGAATGTAATCTTAAATGACGAGTGGTATGTGTGGTAAGATTTTAATTATAGAATACAGTATCTTTTATGGAGGGAGTTTATCTGTGATTTCCTGAACCTATCTTGCTGTGGTTGCTCCATACTAAGGTTACATCATTTGTGGAAGTTCTTTTTGGCTCACAGGGGGACCAAAGGTAAAACCTAGCCTCCTCCCCTCCCTCCGAGGCGCAGGAAGCGAGTGACGGTTCGCCACCCTTCAGGATAGCCTCTATAAAGTCAGTGACGCTTTACAGACACTTCACAGAAAACGAAGCTTTGAATCTGTCAAATAATTCTACAAATGACTCGCACAACAAAGGATTCAATCAAACTACAGTACCTTGAAACTTATTGGTACCAAATACCACCACCAAGCTTCCTGGTCTTGGTTCTTTTCCTGATATAGTGGATGACAGTTCTGCCTGTGTAATGACTGGTATGTTAACCCTTAGGCTTTGGACATCATCAATTGTTGATTCACAGGGCAGTACAGTTATCATCATAGGAAGATTTATAGGGCCGGGTGTTTAATTTTTATTTTTGTGGTTTTTCATTGTTTTTGTTTTGCTTAACCATTAAACTGTGCAACATGTCATATGACGTGTTGAGTAATGCTATAAATTGCGCATCACATCATATGACGTGTTGGAGTACTACTCATGATTTAAATGGTCCGTGGATATGTAGGGTTCACCTCACCTTCACCTCACCACAAGGACATTAGAAAAAACTTTTTCAGTGTCAGAGTAGTTAACAGATGGAATGCATTAGGCAGTGATGTGGTGGAGGCTGATTCCATACACAGGTTTCAAATGTAGATATGATAGAGCCCAGTTGGCTCAGGAATCTGTACATCAGTTGATTGACAGTTGAGAGGCGGGACCAAAGAGCCGGAGCTCAACCCTCGCAAGCACAATTAGGCGAGTACCTTCATCAGGGCTCTTGTAAACAGACACCATTAAAAAAAACAATAGTGGGCTACATTCCTGGATGTGAGGTCCTCAGTACTAAGTGAGCCACCAAAGCTGGTGGAGGGAGTGACAGCCAGTGATGGGCTGCCACTGCCACTCAGCATACCAACTTAGTGGTTTGTTATGGTGAACACAAATGTAGATACTTATATATAACGTGTATATAGAGTGTAATAACAGCAAAAGGAGTGTGGGGGAGAAACCATTTTGGTTAAGGTGGCGGCAACATCTGCATGATTTATCATGCTGGGTAGGGGTGGCCACTATACCAGCTTAGATGAACAGTTATGGTGAACAGAACATGTAGATACTTATATATAACATCTGTATATCTATATAAATAAAAATGGAAATGTTCGTTTGTTCAAAATTGTTAATCTCTGAAAGTACTTCACCGATTGCTTTGAAATTTTCACACAACATTCCATTTGCATCTGAGCAGGTTTTTATATACATACTATATAGCTGTCATGTCTGTGACGGTAAAAAAAACATGCTTTTCTGAAAAACTGATTTTCATGTGCTTTTCATGTGAGGGAAATCTTCGAAACTTCTTTACTGATTGCTTTGAAATTTTGACACAACGTTGCATTCGAATAGGCGCTTCTTTTTATATATCTACTATATACATGCCTCACCTGTGACAGGAAAAAACATTTTTTTTTTTTAAAACAGCGCCATCTGTTGGATGTAAGGGCAATACACGCTGTAATCTCCGAAAGTTCTTCACCAATTGCTTTGAAATTTTGACACAATGTTGCATTCAAATAGGCGCGTTTTTTTATATACCTACTATATAGATGCCACACCTGTGACAGGTAAAAACATGCGTTTTTTGAAAAACAGCGCCATCTGTTGCACATAATAGCAACATGCACGCTATACTAAATATGTCACGAATTCCATTTCAACGTTTCCAATTGTATTGATAAATTATATTTTCATAGATTTTGATTTATTTTATTTTTTAGTGAATTGTTTTCTGTGACATTGTGTTGGAATTGAGCTGTGTTTACCATACCGTTCATTTCGTAAGTATAAATGCCACACCTGTGACAGGTAAAACGAATCTTTTTCTTGAAAAACAGCGCAATCTGTTGCATGTAAGACCAACACACATACTATACTAAATAGGTTACAATTCCATTTCAATGTTTCTGATTGCAATGATAAATTGAATTTTCCTAGATTTTGATTTATTTTCATTTTGATTTAATTATGCAGGTTTATTGATTTAATTATTTTGTGACATTGTGTTGGAATTGAGCTGTGTTGTTTACCATGCCGTTCATTTCGTGAGAATAGTTTATTTTTATATTTTTCATATTTTCATTTCATTTTTTAACTATTTTTCTTATATTTTAGTGATGGGAACATCAGATCACTTGATTTCCCAATTTTCTGAAGGGAACATCAGACCATTTGGGAAGGCATCGGACGAGGGAGTGGGGAAGGACGAGGGGACGGGGGAGTTTGGGATGGTGAGGACGAGTGGATAGGGGAATAGAGAATGGTGGGGAGGCCGAAGAGACGGGTGAGGGGGGAATGGTGGGGAGGCCGAGGAGACGGGCGAGGGGGGAATGGTGGGGAGGTCGAGGAGACGGGTGAGGGGGAATGGTGGGGAGGAGGACGAGAGAGCGGGTGAGGGGGGATGGGGGGGAATGGTGGGGAGGCCGAGGAGACGGGTGAGGGGGGAATGGTTGGGAGGCCGAGGAGACGGGTGAGGGGGGAATGGTGGGGAGGCCGAGGAGACGGGGGAGGGGGGAATGGTGGGGAGGACTGGGGGACAGAGAAGGTTGCTGTGGCTCAGCAAGGCACATGCGTTGCTGAGCCACAGCAACGTGTGGCCGGGCACTGCTAGTGTGGAATAAAATCAAGAACAGTATGGTGGGAGGAGGATGTGGTCGAGTGAGGCGTCATTGAGGGAATGGCAGTGAGATGCTGACTGGCAGATGTGGTGGCCACACCTTCCTGCTTTTTGACTTGCAATATCAACTTAGTGGTTCATTATATTGAACAAAATGTGCAGATATGAATATATATCCTGTGTATATAGTGCAATAACTGACAAAGTATTTGTTTGTTTAATGAACACAATAATTGAATCACTAATATGCACACCATAATTTTGAGTACAGTGCTGATTCACATTTTATTATATAAATATATCACACAGAGAGCACAGGGCACAGAGGGCAGCGTCACACAGACACTGCCATCACTATTGAATAATATTACAGCAAAAAAAAAAAAAAAGAAGAAAAATCAGACATTGAAATAATTAGGTAATTATCTCTTTAAGGCCACTCCTGCCTGACAGCTGGGGCTGAGCAGACCGCCTCGGATGCACGCTGAGTCAGCGCCTTTTTTTTTTTTTTTCTGGGGGGAGCCCCTACGGCTCCCTGGAGCTATCCATGGCTGATATGGATACCCTAACTACTTTGCATCAGTCGATGTGGGTGGAGTTCTAGGCCTACCGGGGACCACGAGCCAGAACCTGGCCCCCTCAGAGAGGCACGGAGAGCAATGGCCCATAGAAATGCACATGTGATTTTGGAGCATTCTACATCTGCCATCGACCGGGACAGGCACCCAGAAAGGTAAGCGCCACAAAACAAACCCCTATTCTGGTTAACAACAAAAATCGACAAACGAGTGGACAGAACTCCCCCAGGAAAAACGAACTAACAAGCATGACGTCACGCGAGCCGCACCGCATGTCTGCGCAGCTCCCCCCTCCCCGGGAGGGGGAAGGGGGAGCCCCAGACCCCCGCGCCGGCGATCCCCGCCCCAGTTCCTCGGCTGATGGGATCATGCACGGTCGTGTGGCTCCAGCTCCAGCTCCAGTCTTGTCTCAGTGCTGTGACTTGTTTGCAGTGCTGCTCTTCGGTGGTCGTGTGAGCTGGGAGTAGTATTCTCAGGTACTCGGGCTGCATGTGCTTAGGGTCACCTTCCCTGAGTGCCCTGTAAGTACCACCCTTGGGGCTTGGGGTTGCCTTCCACAAGTCACCTTGGGTCTACCTCTGTTGGCTTTTCGCTGCTTGGCGTTTGGCCGCCCCGAGGGTTTGGGGGTTTCACTCCCTTGTTTACCTTGGGGTAAGTGGTAGTTATCACACTGGTGGGGCGCAGGGTACTGCGTAGCTAATTTTCACCTATGACAGCGGCCGGCTCTGTTCCCTCTGGGTACGTTGTCCACTTGTGTGGTTTTTTCTTTTATTTTTGTTTTTGCCTGGTAGGGGGGGTCTCCTTGTTTCCCCCCCCCCTTATATTAGGTTCGTTTGTGTGGTGGCACCCCCTGCTTTGCCCTCGCGAGTGGACACGTCCCGTGGGTTCAGCTTTAGCAGTTTGCTTGGTAGTTTGGGGCGCCGGTTAGCAGTACCCTGCCTGGGATAACCCTTAGCAGACCTAGTCTAGGGGCCCTGGGAAACCCCCCGGGGGCTCTCGGGTCCGATAGTGGAGACCCTTGCGTCCCCTCTCGCTTTGTGCGAGTTGAGGGTTGCTCTGTCCCTTTGTCTCAGGGTGACTCTCCTTGTTTTTGCCTCCGTCATGCTGCCTGTTGGGTCGGTGACACATTCGACCCTTGAGTCCTGCGAGCTTTGTTGCTTGTTCGTGACTCCATTCACCCAGTTTGCTGATGAATTCCCGTGGGTGCAGGCAGCTCGCGCGTTGCAGGGTAGGATGTTGCAATGCGCTCTGGTTTGTCGCTTCCCAGGACGCCCCAATGCTGCCCCGCTTGTGTAGGGACCCAGACTTGGGTGGTTTTGGTCGCTTCGGCCTTGGTTCCTTCCATGCCCCCCTTGTTTTTCCCCCTCCTGCTTCCGGCCCCTATGCATCTGCAGGCTTCGGGGTCGGGGC